GGAGGGAAGTGTCCTCTCTGGGACACTTCGGAGAACCTAAATTAGTCTGTTGCTCTGAACTGCTCCCAGAGGAATGTCTCTCTTCTGTTTCCACTGCTGAAGGTTCAGAGGGAAATCCTAGAGATTGTCCCAAAAGATAAATCTTTTAATACCTGCTTCCTCCAACCCTTTGAAAAACGAATCACTTTCTTGCTCTACAGCTTTCTAGACCAAATACATCCATTCAAAACTGTGAAGAAATAGCCTCTTTTCAATAAATATTTTCAATATTCATGTGCTAGCATTTGTACTTATTGTTAAGAAAGAATATTGGAGTTCAGTATAATTTTGCAGTTGAAAAAAAGTAAAGTTATTTGCCAGAAACTGATTATTTCTGATATGTTGTAAGGATGCTCAGTAATTCTGAAAAATCAAGCTATTTACTTACAGATACCCAACTTGGATTTAGATAACTAATTGTAGTCAAAGATGCTTGAATAGTTAGGTCCTGATGTTTAGTTTTGCATGACAGTAACATATTTGAAATAAAAACTGCACTTCATAAATTGTATCAGAGTTTACAGAGACACATAGGGCTTTTTTTTTGGGGGGGGGGGGGGGGAATTATTGGGTTGTGGTTTGTTTGGGGTTTTTTTGTGGTCCTGATTCTCTCCTAGCTAAATTCTATGAAATATAGTCTAAAAACATAAAGAAATTATGCCAATTTAGTATTCTACATTCACCTTCAAAAATACTGAAGTTCTTATCCATCCTTTGCAACTCAGCTCACCTTGAGCTGGATTTGTTCAGAAGCTGGAGATTTTCTGTGTTTCTTTAATGGTACGCTGTCCCAAAGACAACAATTAAAGTCTTTACTGTTGTCGCTATGCCTTATTATATGTTATCCCTTAAAATAATCCACTGTCTCTCAATTCCACAGCCCTATCATTAACACTTCTTTCTCAGTATACACAATGTATGGCTTGGCAAACTAGTTTTTCACTTTCATAGAGTCATTCTGGTTGGAAAAGACCTTTAAGATCATCAAGTCCAAATTTCTGTCCCCTTTACCATGTTTCCTTGTAAATGTGGTACAAACCTACAACATTTGCATGCCAGCAGCTTTGGCAGGCTAGAGCATTCAACTTTTTTCCTCACATTTGGATTCTTGCTTTTACCAGAATAATGCCTTTCACCATATTTACCCCTTTCCTCATTGCTCTTTTTTCCATTTCTTGACTTGGCTTGATCAGCCAGCCGTGCTGTGCTTCAGCGACTTCTACCTTCCTCTCTACAACCTCAACAGTATCTTCCATGGGACAGCTTTGTCTTTAACTTGTAGCATACACATTATCCATGAGAGAGACTTGTATCACTTGTATCAGTACATGGTGAACAATCAGTAGTTCTCCTACTCTGCCATCTCCCACAAGAAAAGCCAACCAGATCTTTTAAAAGATGTACAGTATGTATTTCTGATTGATTCTGCAATCAGAGCAGTCTGTAGCAGCATTTGTCCCCCAGCAAGAAGATAATCACTTGTACAAACCAGGAAATAGGGAGCCCAAACGAAATGTGACCCCATGGTGTTCCCATCCCGCTGGGCACTAGGTAATTACACCTACCATCACAGAACAGCAGGCCGGGCTCTTAACCAGGTTGGCATTGCCACACTACAAACCACTTCTTCCTATTCAACCGGTGACTGATATTATCGCCTCAGAGCAGCACGGCTTTGCCAGGCTCTGTCAGAGAACTACCAAGGAAGCATAGTAGTAGCTGAAAACCTTCTAGTGGTTAATAGCATTTAATGTGAGCTGCTAATTACATAATTTGGGTTGCTCAGTGTTATAGCTGGTGTAGGAGTAAATGGGGCCTGCAAAGTGGTGATTTCGACACAAGCAATAACCAGAGTAAAATATCTATTTCTTTGCTTTCAAATCTTTTTCACAGGATGTTCGCGGTTCAAGTAGATGAAGACAAAGGTCAGACTCAGAGATTGCCAACAGACCAGCCCATCTCTGTTAAGAAACTTTTTGTGGGGGGTACTTCTTCTCCATTTCAGACTGCACCACTCAGAAACATACCACCATTTGAGGGCTGCATATGGAATCTTGTCATTAATACCACGTAAGTCTTACTGATGCCAACAAATGTCTGGTTAATGAGGTCTGGTTAACTACCTTGGCTGCCAAAATATACTTAATTGTTGCAAGGTATCATAATAACAGCAAATCCTAGAATATGATGTTTCCTTAATATGCCCTTCCTTTTTTTGTCTACAGTATACGCTCCATAGGCTATGCAATTAATGAACTGCTTTACAGACAAGCCAACACCTGTCTATCCATAAAATCAGAGAAATTCAACAGTAAAGCTGCAGTAAGACTTGCCTCAGTGATGGGTATTTATGGTGTACTATAACACTTTATTTTAAGTAAGGTTGATCTCCAAGAGTATACAAATTCTGAGAACCACCATGGGGATTAATTTGCTTTGGAAAGTGCATGCTGTGATAATCTGGGAGGAACATTTAAGTAAAAAGAAAGGGAACAGTGAATAACGTAAAACCTCTATGGAAAGTTCCCATCTAAATCTTTTTTTTTGCATAACTGAAGTACATAAATTAGGATCTCATGACCTCACACTCCATCAGTGTACATCAGAGAGAAGGACTTCTCTGTAATGTGATTCAGCCTACCTAGGCTGGTACAGCTTGCCAAAGTGGATGCCTATCTCTCTGCACTGACTGTAGGAAAGAAAGCAAATGGTGACTATTGCCTCTAATTTAAGTGTCCCTCTTCTGTACCTAAAACAGGTGGGATGAATCCTGGCTCTTGTGTCCTGTGAAGTGGAATTACACTGCAGCATACAGCTATTCTTTATAAATGGGTGGTAAAAAGACAGAAAATAACAGACATCAATTTCTTTGTTTGTTCTCAGCCCGATGGACTTTGCTCAACCAGTGTCCTTTGAAAATGCAGATATTGGCCGATGTCCCTCTCTAGAACCAGAGGTTAGGCCACCTGAGGATGAAGATAAACCAATCCGCCCAACAGTCCTGATCCAACCTGAACCAGACACTAACGGGGAGAAAGAAAGACCAAGGACGACTCCTGCTTCCCCTCCTCCTCCAACACCATCTCTATCTTCAGCACTTGTAAGTGTAGATCACTTCACTCAGGTAAAGTTTGAAATTTCTCTTCCCAGGGAAAACTGTAAAGCTAGCCACCAAGTAATTTCCCACAAAAATAGTAACAATTCAGCATGGTATTGTAAAGGGAACACCTTGTTGCAGGTCAGTAAAACCCATGGATAATGGAAAACTGGTTGATGTCATTTGCTTGGATTATCACAACAGTAATTTAAAGAATGATATAGCAGTAGAATTCCCTTTGGCTTGCGTGCTTAGCCCTAAACCCTTGCACTCCAGGATGTAAGCCAGGCAATATCTGATCAGGGCTGGAAGGGAAATTTTCCTATGGAAAATCCATGTCATTATGATATTTCTTGTGCTGTTGTCTGAAGCACATGTTAACAGCCATGTCAGTGACAGGATGAAGAAACAGGTAAACCAGAGAAGTCTGTTTGATATGGCAATTCCACCACTGCTGTTTTATAGCTTCAGTCAGGAGACTTACAACTTAAGAACTAAAAGCCCAGTCACTGCTAAATTGAGCTCAATTGTTGTTGCCAGAAATCTTAAACAGCTAGATAGCGGCAAGCAGTCTTACACAACAAAATTTAAGAAGAAACTTCTGTCATAAGTATAGCAGTTTTACAGGTTGATGAAACATTTTACTGTCCAGAAAAGATACGTTTAGATACCTGAATATTAAACTGAATAGTATAACCACTGGAAGATATTCCGGGGGCAGAGCGGGGGGAATCCTTTGCATTTTATTACACTGGCATACAACCCACAGGTTTATGCAGGATATCGTTATGCATGGGTAAGGTTCCCAAACAGTGTGAAAAGACTTCACGTTTCCCAATTAGGAGCCTATTTACACTACCATAATTTACACTACCATAATAAGACAGTTTTGAGAAATTAACAACTGGAATATTTAACTTCCCTTTTTATATATCAAATACAAAACAGTCAGTAATTTTGACAGTTTCTCCTAGATTGGATTCGTAAGATCTTTTAACCATTTGGGGAGGCACTCCCATGCTGGGTCAGGTTTAATCTTCATTCCCATTTCACGCCTCCTCACTGACACTACATTACAGAACACTGAGTTTGTTTGTATTGGATTTTTCTGTGTGACCCAGAGATTAAGATTATCAATTAATTGCACGAAGACCACAAAAAAAAAAAGAAAGAAAAAAAAAGAGTTGTGATTTTCACTCAGTCAGTTGGCTGTAAGTCTGTCAGTTAGAGACAAACACTCCTTGTTGCCTGACTCGTTTTCAGAATTCATATCTGGTTTCCCTTGGACATGGGCAGGATTTCTAACAAATTTCTACCAAAAACGGTACAAAAATTAGGCCAATATCCCTAATTCATTAAGGTTGATTTTGTATTTGAGGTTCATGGCCACCTTCAGTGGCCAGGTACATATGGCACAGCTTTATCTCGAAGGACTTGTCAGGCGCTACTGAAGTCTCCACAGCACATGCAGCCATCTGTGTACCTGGAAATGGGAGCCTGGGGGTCAAGATAGGCAAGCTCCATCGTAGTTATTACCCATTCCCGAGCCCCACAGTTGTATGTATTGGCCTTTTAATGCTCTAGGGCAGCGTTTTTGATTCATTCCCACAAGGTGGAGTAGTTGTAACACGAGGGCTCCGATGCATCTTTCTGTTTGCAGTTGAAAGTAAGCAAATTTGCGGTACAGCAAGGCTACCATAGAAAGACAATGAACCAGGCAACAAGGTAAAAAGGGTTATCCAGTTTAATGCTCAGTGTTGTGAAACAGTGCCGTCATATTATCTCTTGATCAAGCATTATAAACTAAATTTAAAAACACAGAAGCGCATGAGAAAGCAAGTGCACACTTTCTAAGACTCTAAGCACTCTTTTAAACAGCAAAATTGAGAGGAATAGATCTACTCATTAATATCAAAAACTAATCTCATTGTAACTAGGTAAGTTTTTTATATCACATATCTAGAGCTGTGATAACCTGAAACAAGAGTTCAAAATAAAAATCTAAATAAAACACCATTATTCCACTTTTTCCCTTGGAAATAAATGAAACCATTTTAGTATTCTGAAGACTTGAAAGTATTTGAAATAAGACAAGCTTTTGGATAGTTTTTACGTTCCTCTAAGGAAGTTCTCCAAAGTATTTTTCTGGGGAACGTTGCCAAAAATAAGTAACTACAGTTTAATAATGAGGTAGCACTCATATGACAGTTATACAGAAGCTCAGTGTAGAAGGACTGTATATAGAAAATATACAGCAGAAAAAATTATTGCCACATAGTAGGCTTAAATAAGGTATCTGTTCTACTTAAGTCCTTTCAGGATCTTTTTTTACTCTGTTATCCATTTGCATGTGAAAGGGGAGGGGGAGTTTACTCTCAAATGAAAGAAAATCTACCCTCTACTAAAGGCAAGACAAGATAAGATCTAGAAGTAGGACAGTTGGGAAATACACCGGTCACCAGTCTGCTGCTGCTGCTTGCTACCAAAATGTTTCTCAACATTGGGTAACTGCTGCTTCTGCCTCCTGTCATTCCCTGCTGCTCAGGATTCGTTTGCCACAGAAATGAAGAGCGCCAGCATTTCCTCTGCATTTGACTCCATGACGGTATCTTCCACCATTTCTCCATGCATTACTTCATTGTTTTATTAACACTATTCAATGAGCTGTGGGATTGCTTCAGTGGTGCTCCCTTTTCCCCCTAATTACTTTCTTTGTAATTGCTAATACAGCATTGTTTGTACAGAATGTGTGACAGTCCACCAGTGGGCTTTTCTGTTCTTCATTTCCACTGTGATACATATCTAGCTTCTTGACTTACCAGTCAAGTCCGTGACATCTGACAAGACTGAAGTGCAGCAGAAGTGTTCAGTCTTGAGGCTCTCAAGTAATATAGGAGATTATTAAACAGCCAGGTTTAAACCCAGGACACCTTAAGGCCATTACTGAAAAATCAAAGCTGGGATATTTTAATACAAGCTGATGATCCATGCTTAGTTCACAGTCCTGTGAAGGCTGTAAAGTTGGCTGTCCTGAGTTAAAGTGACAGCAGAGACAGGCTTGTGAATAAAACCTGGAAGATTTTTAAGTGTGCCATCTTGACTTTTTCCTTTTACTGATATTTCTACATCAACCTAATTAATGTTCACTATTACCGATCACTATTTATCAGTAAATAATCGGTGTATGCTTGCTGTGATCCTAACCATCGCAGTGTGTTTGGCATTCTCCCCACTCCTTGCCCTTCCTTACAGTCCTCCTGCTGCCATGGAGAAAAACTGCAGCGTTTGCTGATGCTGGGGAGCAGCTAAAGTGTCAGGGCCAGACCCTTTATTAACATAAACCAGCCTAGGATTCAGTTTACTGTCAGAATATATCCTTTTACCACGTAATATGTAAAAGTGTGCCACAGGAATGTCTGTGTTAGTGTATTTTCCAATTCTTTCCTGTTGCTCTAGTACTGTAGTTAGTCCCTATCTTCAAATTTTAGCAAGCCCAAATGCTATTGAAAGTATTATATACACAGTAGTGTTATTAACATAGTTATTAAGCTTCTAGATAAACCTGTAAAGCTTAAAACAATTAGAAACTTTACCCAGCATTAGAGGAATACAATTTTTTCTTTCTATTTGATGATCACTGGAAGACTGCTATCACACATTCATAACTCTGGTCCTGTTGAGTTTTTTTCCTCACTTTTTCCCTCCATTGCACATTGATGTGTACTTGTCATAATGCATGGTGTTCTACTCTGTCATATTCAAACCAGAGGATTCATTGTGGAAAACTAATTTTTAGAAGTTCTCTATACTGTTGTGAAGATTTTTTTGTGATGTGTGAAAGTAAAAAATATAACACTACTGAAAAACTGAGTGAGAGAGGGGAACGAGATTTCCTCTTTGCAGCTGAAATCTCAGTGCCTGATGAGTCACCCATGACATTTTCAAAATGTTTCACAGAAAGGGCTCTTTGTCAGCAGAGCACCGCACCTTGTGCTTTGCGGGTCCCTGCTGAGTCAGGGCTCAAATAAGAGACTGTCGCCAATCCAACATGATATCAGCCACAGTGCTTAAAAACAGAGCTCGCAGCTATTAAAGTTTGTTTTTTTCCCAGCGGTATTGTCCTGATATTGTGTTGCGTTAGATCCTTTCAGTAGTTTCTTCACAATACTCTCAGTGGGAGGCAAAAGCCAGACATGAGTAGGAGCTGGTAATTACCACGGTCTCTCATTGCCCCAGGCACCCCTATACAAGAGCTTTAGGGCCAGAGATTAAAAGACCTGGTGAAATTAAAAAGAGAAAATTATACTGGGCAGAAGATATTTTACCTTCCATTGTTGCACCACTTTAAGATTAATAGCAGTGGAACAGACAGGGAGGGGTTTCTTTCTTTACCCCCTGGGTAATGTGTCTGCATTAGACAGCTCAGGGAGTTTAACAGTTGTTACTTCTACCCATCAGTTATTCGGCTTCCCTTATTGTTGGGGGGGGGCCTTTCAACAGCACCAGGAGAAACAGCAGCACGCTAAACAAGGAATACAATTGTAAAACAATATAAAGAAGTTAAAGGGGGGAACCGTTGACAGGTGCAGGATCTGAAACTACTTTTAACTCATTAATTTTAAGGTGACTAGATTTCAAGTCGACAGCAAAGCATCCCTTAAAAAATGTAAGTCTTGCTTCATTTCTGTAAGAGGGCAGCCTACTGTGTAAAACTCAGTTATGTGAGCTAAGAGTACACTGAGCTGCCTGGAAAGCACTTAAGAATCTTGTAAATGTCCACTGGTGGCATGAAAGCAGCAATGTTCATATATTACTTTTATTTGCTTTTACAGCCAGCTTAATGAGCTCTGCTTTTACACCAAGTTCCTGTCATACTGGTTTATAACTTCAGCTGGTGTGATGAGGCATCAACACGCTGGAAAATTGGAGGGCCAGTGTCTAGACTAGGTGGAATATTCTGACTCCTGAGCAGTTGAAAGACTTCCAGCATGTGCACAGCAGAGATAGATACGAAATATGAAGTCTGTATGAACGCTGTATATTTTGCAGGATTCCTGTGCTGCTGACACTGAACCAGCCATTTTGGAAGGTGGCAAGCAATTTGGTCTTTCAAGGAACAGCCACATTGCGGTTGCATTTGATGACACCAAAGTGAAAAACAGGTATACTGTTTACTTCAGCGATGAGTTGTGATGTAATAATGTCAAAATAAAATGCCCCTCCTAATACTCTTAAAAGCATCTCCCAAAATTATGGGCATGCTCTGAAAAAGATCACATCCCATGGCTAATTCATTTCATTATGTAAACATAAAAAGCATTAAAGCATGAAATCTAGGCAATGAAGTGCCCACCTAAGTAGCTCTCACAAAAACAGTTAACCTCTTTGTTTTTAAATGTTTGGGCACATACAGACCCCGGGCTGATTTGCGGAAAAGCAAACAGAAGAATGGAACCAGGTCATGCAACTGAGTTCATAGGTTGCTTTTTTGAAAGTTTCTTGGTTCATTAACTTGATAATTTCTTGTAATAAGCAAACCTTGTTTTTCCTTTCTTCCGACAGTTAAGATCAAGCTTGCAGAGTAAACAGACAAAAAATGTATACCAAAGTATAACAATATATATGTATACACATTCATATGCAAAGGAATTCCAAGAGCTACTTATAAAAATACAGCTGTTTTCAATGGATTTGTGAAGCTAAAACTTGTTAATTGTTCACTTTTGCTGTGACGGCACATGATCATTAACAAATGTGTCATGTCACACCACTGAGCATTTTTGCTGCATTGTAGTTTACAAGTCCATCAGTCTCACACTTATTTTTGCCTATAAAGATGCTGTACTGTGTATTTTCACATATGCTGATTTTAGAAAACTAGGAAAATAATTAAAAGAAATATGTAATCCTACAGTCCTTGCCTGTCTTCTTTCCAAATAAGAATCCAGGCCTGATCGTTTTCACGCAATGATTTTTCACATTTATATTATCAACTACTTTCAGATATTGACTTTGCAGCTCAGCTTGGGCTAGGTTACTGATGTGCTGCCAGTACAACCTTAGCATGTAGACAATCTAATTCATTTCTTCCCAGGTTCTTTGCTGTAGGGGAGGTTTTTGGCATTACCATTCGGTCCAAGGGGTCATCAGACCTCCTCAGATACAACCCATTTTCAGAATGAGTGTTTTATATCCTGATTGTAAACTCTTTCTGCATCTGTAAAAGTTTTGCAACCTGTCTTCAGGCAATACAACTCATTAGAAACTCAACATTTGCCAGCTGTTACTTCAGCTCCCTCCTCTTTGTGAGCATCATGTGTGCGGATGACGGGTAACGCCGCTGGAATTTTACAAGCGCTGGGATTTTCTAGCAACTACAGCTGCAGCTGAGAAGTGTATCTTGAAATTCTATGCCAAGGCTGCACTTTTATATTTCCACAGCAAAGGGACTAATGAATGCTCCCATGTCAGGGATCAGATATGTGTGAAATGCAATTCACGTATAACCAAATGATTTTTCCTAAACCCTGATGGACAAGTAAAATGGGCCACTAAACGTGAAGTTTTGTTAGAGGAACACAGAAAGGTAAAGCAGATAAAGTTGTCTACTGTCTGACTCTGAATATCTTTTCCTTTGTTTCTGTTTTCCTGTTTGTTTGATTTTCAGACTTACAATTGAATTTGAAGTCCGAACAACAGCTGATTCTGGCTTGCTGTTTTATATGGCCCGCATCAACCATGCTGATTTTGCTACAGTTCAGATAAAGAATGGACTGCCTTACTTCAGTTATGATCTGGGGAGTGGAGACACCAACACAATGATTTCCAGCAAAATAAATGACGGCCAGTGGCACAAGGTATAATAGTCACTAAAACTCAATTTTTCTTTGGAATGCTAAGAGAGAGCTTTGTTTTGCCTTAAGATATTTGCAAAATGTAGTCTATACAAGCTAAACTTTACAACTAGGCTTTTCTGTAGTCTGCAATATTTGTACTTTCAGATGCACTGTTGAGTACATGGTACATACTCTACTAACAAAATGTTAGTGCTGGATGTATTTCTGGATATATTTAGAATATGTCCTATGTATGGTAAGGAACTGCAGAAAATGTTCCATCTTGCCTAATAGGGCTCAGGTGAGTATCAGCTCGTCGTGATTGAGTACATCATTAAAGCCAGTTGTTTCTTTGTTAATAATTTCACTGTTCTGCCATAATCTAGGAACAAAGAAAGAAAAAAAAACTTAAGTAAATCTCTCCTGCATTATTAATTTAATACATTAGGGAATAAACATGATATTCATGGATGTAGTTGGCAGCCCTTTCTGTGACTTTATGAGAAGAAGCATTTATACACAATGCCTGTGGCTTTCGGATGGTAAAGGAAGGAATAATACCACAGCCATGAAGTTTACTATTTACTGGCCCAAGGACAACAGACATTTGAAGGCACCAATAAAGACACAGAAGATAAGAATACATGTAACCATGTGTTCAAGTTATGTGCTATAAGAGATATTACATTTTGGACAAATATTTGGAAAGTCACCATCCACATCCCTATCACCAAATGGGAAAATAATCTAATTGCATTTTCTGTTATGCTTGAATTGGTCTTACCACATCCTTTTTGCAGTCATCCTTAGTCCCTTTATTGCTCCATTCCCACTCTGTTCCACAGGAATTTTATTTTCACTGGATTTTTATTCATGAACTTTTTGATGATAGGAAATGCTCTAAACCAAGGTATTTAATGAGGGGAAAAAATAAAGTTGTAGTCGTATTTATCTGTTTTACGTAATGCCTGGGAGCACAGGCAGTAGACCAGAGGCCCTTTCTGCTAGACTCTCTAGAGATACAGAACAAAGACTTTTTTTTTTACTCTTTTAGCCATTTTCTCTGTATTCCAAGAGAACTAACTGAAGCATATTCTTAATGCAAGACTATGGTCTTCAGGCATGCAGCTTGGCACTCTGTGCGAGAAGGACCCTTGTTGTATATCCCATTTTTGTAGGAGAGAACGAAGACAAAATCCAAAGTCACAGTTCCCAAAAAGCACAAGGAAGTCCATTCAAGGAGGAGGAAAAGCGCAACCTCTTGAAAAAAACACCACAGTCTTTGTTTTTAAGAAAGCAGAGGCCTCTCCTTAAAATAATCCTTTCAGTGACAACCTTTAATCCATTTGAAATGGTTTAGGTTGAAATGTGTCCATCAGGCCTACAGAAGCCACATCGTGCTGCTGCTATCTCTTTAGGTCTTCTGTAAGACTGTCTGTTCCCTGTTCCTGTCTCACTCACCAAATCCTCCTTCTGCCCAGGGTGTAACTGTCCATCTCAAATTTACAGTTGTCTATAAGGGACCAAGTTCAGTCCCTTGCCTTCGGGCCACCCTTTGTCAGTGTTCAGTCATTCCCATTGCACGACAGATGTGCTGTCACACTGAAGCACAAGCAGCCATGTTAAACAAAAGCCAAAGAAAAAATGCTATTTCTGTCTCTCTGCTACTCTGGTGATAAATCTGCTAAAAAAATGTGCATGCTCATTTTACATTTTATCCCTTTTTTTATACAGAATCATTATTATACTGATTTGTAGAGATTTCAGTATAAATCTTTGGAAAGAAATCGGCCTGCAGTTGTTGGGGTAGAATTTCCTCAAGTCTTGCGCTTCCACCAGGCAATTCACAGCCCATTTGTCTGAACTGAAGCCATAACACCAACAGAATATAGTTGGTATTATATTTACTCTAACATGAACTGTGGTCTGAGGCACATCCAAACTAGCGGAATCATAAACTCAATATTGTATGCAAACCTGTGCTGCAATAAAGATTTGCAACTGGTGCCATTAACATTCAGCATTTATTATTCCCAGTACTTAAAATTGCTATCTGATTCCAGGAAAAACAATATTGTGGCATGCCTGTCATAGTTACAAGCTTTTAAGAGGAACCCCAAGCCCTTTTAGTAATTCTAATAAATAATAGTCATGACGCCTCCTGACTCAGAGCTAATTAAAAGGCAGTCATATGTTTGCACAAAACCTTGCACAGGAGCTCGGTTCCATGGACATTATCCACAGTTGCTGCCACAGTACTTCTGCTAACCACTCCTACTACTTTCTCCCGTATTGTTATATATTTCGGACTGTAAAGCTAGTTACAATCTGGAAACAGGTATCAGAAAACTATCTGTAAATGTATTGCATTTGTGTGTATTTTTAGATAAAAGTTATTCGGACGAAGCAAGAAGGAAACCTTATAGTAGATGATGTTTCAAACAGGACTGTTAGCCCCAAGAAAGCCGATATATTGGATGTTGTAGGAATGCTGTATGTTGGAGGATTGCCGATTAACTACACAACTAGAAGAATTGGTCCAGTAAGCAAGTTTGTTTAAGTTATCTTACACTCCTTAAGTACGTCTTGATTGGTACCAATGTCTTCCCAGTTTTGTTTTGCTTTGCTTTTCCTTCAGACTGCTCAAGAATATGGATAAAGCAGACCATACTGGAGGTACAGTACATTCTTTCAGTGCAAAGATCTGACTCAGAATCCAGTTAATGCAAAGAACTAGAAACAGCAGAGTTAGTTACTGTTATGGAAAAGTAGAAAGATCCATACACTTGTATCCACTTGGATCACTGTGCAGGTAGTGTGTAAGGTCATAAGTACTACTTGCCCTGTCTCTTGGCTGTAATTCATCTAGCAGTAACTGCCAACAAACAGTGACAGCATCTCCTAAGAGAAGCAACAGAAGCCAAAACTACCCTGGACAAAGTAGTAGCTTACTGTAGTAATTGGTTTTGTGTTGTTATTACTAAGCTAGGAGAGAATGTATTTTGAAGTAAGGCCATGAAAACTCTGTTGTCCTCTTTCTGTTTCCAAATCAAATGTGCACATTTCAATTTATCATTGTTCCAGTCTGAATGTCCAGCTTCCACGCTGACACAGAAGATACTTCGGCAAACAGAGAGCCCAGAGACGTGTATATCATTTTGGCCTAAACCTTGTAGGATTAACTAGGAACACTGTACTCCTTCACCCAGGCCATTCATTGCATCTAACTGCACAACTCCATGTCAGTCATCTCACTTTCCTGCTGCCTTCCCACCCCCCAAGACATGCCAGTATCAGCATCAGAGAAAACCTCTTCCTTGCATTATTTTTTCTCTGCACAGAGGGATCTTTCAAAGCAGAAGCCAGAACTTGAGTGAACTTAATTATAGCAAACAACAAATTAGGCATATGGTACAGCACAATGTGGACAAAAACCTGGAATGTCAGTAGCAGCTACGTCTAGGCTTATTCTGGGTGGTTATACAGAATCGGTAGACAGGAGGAAAAGCACAGATCCTAGCAAGGAAACAAACCAGACTCTCAAAGTAATCTGACAGGAGTAAATACCATTCTAGTAAGATGTTTATGGAATGCTGAATACTATTATATAGACAGGCAAGAGTCCACAATCTCGGGTGGACAAAATAAATACAGAAAAGGAATTCCTAGATCCTGCTTAAACAAGTCATTACAATAACTCATGGACTGGGAATAAAGGGGAAGAATAACCACTCTAAGTCTGAGAGTTGTGTTCCATAAAGAAAACTTACCTGTAAGATCATATTTCTTAACAAATTCTGGATTGTGCAGAAAGACCAAATTGGGCAGAAAGACCAAATTGAGGCAAATTTACCGATCATTTGGATTTAGCAGATCTGAGGCACTGAGAAACAAAAGCAATACTTAACTACCCACAAAATATAATTCTTAATACTATCAAATTATGCTCTTTGAAATACATGTGCAATTTACAAATACTAATCTAAGGAGAAAAGTAACACTAAATCCTTACCTATTGCTCCTTGTCAGAAGTAATGGAGGGAACCCATGCAGATAAATGGCTCAGTCTGGCAATAACAGTCATGTCAGATCCTGACAGTCTTATATGCTTTGGGATTTAAATGAAGCTGTGACTTCAAATGTCATTCACAGAAGGTAAAAAGCAGTGCTTGCCTTTCAATCATTCTTGGTAAAATACACCACATGATGTATTAATAGAGTGTTGTGTTGTAGGCTTCATGTAAAGGCTCTGAAGCAAAGTAAGTTGAAAGGATGTATTATCTTAGTTAGGACTTTCTGCTACACACACATCAACCTTTTTAGACACTAATCTAATACGTAACCGTAGGTGGGCTGGCTTCCTATTCAGTGCAGAAGACTGATACCTACTTGTTTGGCTCCAGCAGATGTCACATTTTAAGCACTCAAAACGCTGCTTTCAGCAAAAGATGTTATATTGCCTGTTAACCATGCTAAAGTATAACCAGATTTGCTTTTCCATAGGGAAAGTGAAATTTTAAAGTTAGAGAATGTTATCAAGTTGTCTACAGACCTTGCATTTCTGTGATTTATTCTCACAGTGAAGATGGCAAGATTTGTTTTCTTTTATGGCGTTTTTCTTTTTTGGTAACAAAATTTGTTGATCTGGAGATGACTTTCACTTAGAAATTAGGAAAAGGTCTATTTATGAAGAAGCTGACAGAAAGCATTGATCAGCTCAGAACTGAATTTATTCACTGATATTGCTCAAGTTCTCATGAAAACTTTGTACTGGTGTATTTAGCAGTAATAAGCTGTATATTCCACAGTACATCCAGCTTTGATTTACAAGGAAAGAAATTCTTTGGAAATTCTTTCAAATTACTAGTCAGGCTATTGTTAGAGGAGGTGGTATGCAGAGTCAAGGCTTCCCTCTGCAGGTATGCCTTTCTCCTTTCTGTATTTATACAGATTTCTATGCTGTATTTTATATGCTGATTTTTATTTTCTTCCTTCCAACTTCATTGCTTATGAATATGTCTTCCTTTTCTTCCTCAAAGTACATGTTTATCATTTTCCTCTCTCCCACTGATACCGGGGATAAATTTTCTTAATTCTAAGTCAAAGATCAAAGCCTTTGTCTAAAGCCGAGAACCAAAATGCAGCTGCTGCACACCTCAGAGAGAAAAGGGAGGGAGAGCTCTGGGGGCAGCTCACAGCGGGGAGATGCCCGTGGCTCTCAGAGGTCCCACTGGGATGCACTGATCACAGCGTTGAGCCCTGGGGCAACCTGGGGTGTAGCCTGGGCAG